GGGAGGGGGTAAAACTCATGCTTTTGCTTCATCACATGCTGTACACTTACAGCAGACAAATCAAAAATTTTGTTTCACTTTTAAAAATGAGCCAGCTAGGCTCCTGAAAGAGCAGGCAATCCGTTGATGCAGTAATTTTGCCCCTCTGCCCTTCCTGTGCTCTTCCTTGTAATGGATTTAAGTACTCATTTCCACTATCACTAATTTAACAGTTTTCCAGGATCTTTGACAGTCAAGACACTCACACTCTGACAAGCTACCAGTGCTGTGGATTTGAGTGACAAGAGCAGATGGAAGAGAAAAATCCATCCTCTGGCCTTCATTTCAAGGAGAGCAGTTGAGCGTGAAGCAGGGCAGCACCATCTTACTGAGACTGAGTCAGAAGGCAAGCCGTGCTCCAACAGCACGGGTGGGATGGGCAAGTCCCGGAGAACAGCAGTGACACTCCCTCTTCAAGGATTAACGCTGCCTTTTGTATGTTTTAAACGGGATGACAGAGGTAAGAGCTAGTGAGATTCTTCATCATTATCCCCTTACCCCTCTAGAGGGAGGGGCCTAGCTTCCAAAAAACTGCCTTTACACAGAACTAGCTCTGACAGAAAAATGCCAATACTAAGCTCTTCCCTGGTAACCCAAAAAAAAAAAGGCAGGGGGGAAGGAACAGTATTTAATTCACTTTACCTTTAAATACTACCTAGTAATAGCCTAAATCAGCAGTGTGAAGTGAGAGGGCATAAATTCCGTCATTTTTAGGATACCATAATACATAAACGTAAACGTGTAAAAGACTTGCAGCATAAAATGGCATAGGTGGTGCTGGTTGGGTTGTGGATATTTTTGTGGTTCGTTGTTCGGTTATTTTAAGCTTCAGTGGCTCCCTTTAATCTTACACTGGGTGGGGTTATAGCCCAACTTTCTGAAAGACAGAATGCACCTGTATGTAGTCACAAACAATGTAAAACACTAATTCAGCATTTTATTTGTTGTTCATATTTTTACAATTTATTTTGCCATTTTTAAAACACCACATATCAATTTAAGAGGTGAAAGTATTTGTTAAAAGTTTAAACTTTGGTTAAACCACAGTCAAAGGAATAATCTTTACTTGAACAGCCTTATGTATGTTGAGGTGAACCCAAAAGCACCAGACAGTAGGTGGACTTGCTTTGTATAGGCATATTCCTTCTAAACAAAGTGTTCCATGTTGTCAAACTGACTTACAAGCAACACAAAAATATTGCTCATCCACAATTCCAATGCAACTGCTTACAAACAAGAGTCAGAAAACACTCTGTTAGCCCACCACAGAAAACAGTGTGGCTAAAATAAAAGAAGCCAGACAAACAGTGAGATATAGAAATCAGGAGGCAGAACATACATGCTTAAACTTTCCCCTTACCACAACAAGGGAAAACCATCTTTTGCTTAGAGCCTTGCCCATGAACAATCAAAAAGCAAGCATACAGCATCCGTGTTCTTCAGCTTACAAACACTGCAAAGCAACTATGATCTTACATGTCTTCCAAGGCAACCTGTTGTCCTTCTGAAAGGCTAATGTATTTTGTATAGAGGTGATTTGTGGCTGTCAACCAATCCATCTGGTTTCTAAAACCGAACAAACATCACTCTTTAGTTCACTGTGTTTTCCATTAATATCAAAATAAAATCTTTGACTTTGAATTAGACCCACATGCAACCAAGTACGGACAAGCAGACAACATTTGCAACATCACTGGCATCATGACACAATATTCTATTATGACTTTGGGCATTATCATTAGAACATCATGTCATCTAGTCCATCCTCCATAAACTTCTTGTAAATTGCCATAAACTTTGCAACAAATGCTTCCAGATGATAAATGGCTTTGCTGCCAAGTTGCAAGCGGTGTTCATAGAAGGCTGCCATCTGTGCAACTTCTCCTTTCAGTTGTCCGTCACAATTATTTAGAAGTTCTGTCAGGAGACCCTAAAAAGGGGAAAAAACAGGACAGTATTTGAAAAATTACATATTTTTTGTTAAAAGGATAATCCCATTTCTCTGTATATAGCCAAGCTATGACCAACAGTTCACTCACAAATCCAATAGAAAAGGCATTTAAAAATCATTACACCACCTATTTGACAGAATTAGATTCATGGAACCATGTCTCTTCTGAACTTTCTTTCAAGATAAATTCCTTACGTCAAAATAGACGTGACCTACCGTGTTCTTAGATAGAAAAAAAATCATATACTGGAACTACTTATGCCTTAATAAAGAAAAAATTAACCTCATCTCCAAGTACCTCTACTGCATGCTGGCACATGGTCCTGGAGAGAATTTTACCAAGATAGCAAATGCATTAAAATCACTTACTTCCTATCTCGAAAGCACCGAGCACAAAGAGAAACAACATTAGTCAATAACAAGGGAAGGGCTTATTTAAATTTTAAGTATATCAGTTTATGTACATATGTATGGGCAGATACACACAAGACACTTTGCAACAATACCTCAGTCATTACAAAACCAGAAATGCATTATTTCAGATCCGACATAGCAATAAAACCATTGCAAATCTATCTCTATTAAAACAGTCATGATTAAGTGTGAAGTATCTCTAGACTATTTCAAGTTTATGAAGATGGAGTGAGTAGAGAACATCCACCTTTGGCCTGATGACAGCAGTCCTCAAACAGGTCAATGCAGGATCCACTAACCTACCATCAGAAAGGAAGGTTAAAGAAACACCTAACTACCAAAATTGCCAGAAAGTAGTTAATGTGAAAAGAAATTTATTATCTTATGTCTGATGGCAAAGTCCACCTAGGGTAAGTTGCAAACATGAGCTTTAATCTTTATTCTGTTCTGGTTGTCTTCAGCATCCTTTCATCCTGCCTATAATAAAAGCATGAATGTCCCATTTGCTTTTTTTTCCTCTCAAGGTGACTTCTGTCTTTGAAGAAGCCTGCTGGTCTAGCATCCGTTAGCAAACCTCTCCATTAGGACACAGCAGATAGTGAACTTACAACAACAAATATTTCGTTTTCTTTTGCAAAAGTTATCAAAGTTAGCCCATAAAATACGTCTAATGCTTCAAATACAGAAACTGGCCTGAGAAGTTGTCAGGGGGACAATTGTTTTTACTCAGCTATGATGCTGCTGTTCTGGGATCACAAAACAAGTTTTAGTAAACCATTCAGAAGTGTGAACAAGGAAGCCTGAAACAAAAATAAACTAGACATTTACATTTTCGAGATTAGAGAACAGAACATTCCTGACCCCAGAATCTACACAGCTCAAAACCATCATGCCTAAATACATCTAGGTATGAACCTAACTAAACATTCTAGTATATTGATTGAGGATCATGAGAAGTGAATGCTATGTATCATGTTTGCAGAACAACGGTTTTAAATTACTGCTTCAGAGAAATAACCTGGACTATTTTGGTTACTCCAGTGAAAAGAAACACAAGAGAAAAGTATCTTTTGGTCATTTCTGTCTATTTGGAAAAGCCACAGCTTTTCACCAATATTTGGATACTTTGTGACGTTTTAGTGCGGGTTTGTTGTTTTGTGGGTTTGTTTTGTTTTTTTTAAAACTCAAATTGAGACTATCATAGCAGTAATATTTGTAACACATGAAGAGCTAGATAGCTGAATTACCTTCATTATAATCTCAGGAGGAATGCAGTGTGTCAGGAGTTCATAAAGCCGTCCACGGACCTCTAAAAGCCTGTTGGAAAGACACCACAAAATATCAGAAGTACATCCCCAAAGCATACTAATGTGTTTTCACTATTTGTGAAATATGCTGCAGGAAGGAAAAAAGTCAACACAAGCAAAGGGATTTTTTTCTGGTTTTGTGTGTTTATTTTAAACCCAAAAGCATTGCACAAGTCAGTTTCAATTCAAATGCTACACATCCCCTTTTATTTAAAACAGTAAGATAAGTTACATATACTCTAGTTACAATGGTCTCAGTTAATCTAGAAGCTACAAAGCTATTAGAATTTGTTTCAGGCTTGTCTCCCTTTAATTCCTCTTCATATCTCAATTACTATTCATGCTTAAGATTAGTGAGAAGACGCCACAAAATTGATTAGAGCCCCAAGATTCATTTACACTGTTTCTCTGTCTTCATTGTTTACAAGAGGGGGTAAGATGATTAGGTGACGGAAAGCGACACAGTTATCAGTTCTCAACTTTTGATAGCAGGAGGGGGGAGGCTACAAGCATTTAAATTAAATACAAGAATTTAAGTGACATCAAGTTATATATGGAGCAGATTAAAAAGATCAGGCTGTGTGTATGACACTGAGATGGATAAAAGGGGGCATCTCCTTATGTGCTTTAATAAAATTATGATTTCTCAACATCCAGTTCTTTTATGAAGTTGTATTATGCTAAAGATGATGAAACAGAAGACTTAAATAAAAACAAACATCAACAAAAACCAACACCCACGCTCCCCACTGCCGCGTCCCCCCCCCCCCAC